ATTTTTTAAATGGAATGGCCCATTCCAGAACAATTCTAACAAATTGAACTGATTGCCTTTCAGTGTATATCTAATCAATTTAAGCATTTAGGATGGAGGACAGAAGTATCTATTTCAATATTTTTTAGTTTTTATGGAATTAAACTACTTTATAGTTGACATAATGGTTTGATATTTCAACTAAACCAGGCTAATATGACATTGAAACTCTCAGGTATAATCAATTGTTCATATATTTCGCTTATATGCCACAATTCAATTAATTCTGACACTTATATTGAACTTCTGAAATTCATTATGTTGTATCCATAATATTGAGTTTTTAATATAGACGGGGGGGGGGGGGGTTAGCTACAAAATTATGTATGCTGACCATGAATTTAATTAATCAGTGGGAGTTGAAAATAAAAAATCAGTAGGGATGATTACCAATAGATCCATCGTGGGTTATTTCCTTTTTTGATTTACTTGTTTAGTCACTGATCTAATATTTCTAGAAATGGGTGTTGCCAATCATATTCATACCCAATCATCATTTATAGGTCTTATTCTCAATCCATACCAATCAAATATATCCAGGGGGATAAGTAATTAGCTGTAAGATCTTTATTTTATTATTAAGAGTTGACAAGAGTGATTACCCATTAATTTCTCAAGGGGTCTTTTGTAGGTGAGGGGCTTTAATTTCAAAAGTTATTTTTTATAAAATGAAAACTTGCTAGTGTCTTTTTTTGAACAATTTGTATTAGTATTTAAAACAATTGTTCATTTCTTCACAAGGTTGTTCACAAGGATATATCCCATATATATTTGGGTGCTAATGCATCAGTAGTTGATCTGACCAGCATCTGTTTTGCTTGTTAGCCGAGGGGTTGACATATTATTTAGATAAGATGAAATTTATGGGTTTGTCTCAAAGCTATTAGTCTTGAGAAAACTAACTGTTTCCCCTCTTAAAGATAGTTTGCAAGCTGATTCAATATATAATTCAAAGACAAAATTATAGTGTTCTTTAAAGTTTTCCAGATGAATTAAAAAAATTTAACACACTACCTATACATATACATGACCTACTATTCAGATACACTATACAGATAAAATGTTACATGTATGTCCAGTCTGGAGTTCCAATTTAAATTTTCTACAATAAAATATGAAGTACAAAATATTCTACATTGGAATCACATATATTTTTTGAGACCGACAATGACCATTGGTCATAGGTGTAGGCGGGGGGGGGGTGCGATGAGTGTGATGGCACCAAATAGAACCATGAGATAGAAGAAAAGGGCTTTACAATTTTTTTATTTGAAGTTTCTAGCTCAATTTTGAAGGAATTGCATACATTTTTATAAACTTTTTGTTTATGCCATGATCGCACCCTGCCCCCTCCGACCCAAAACCGAAAATAAATTTGACAATTGCATCCCCCCTGATTAAAAGCTGGCTACGCCCCTGAATCAAAGAATCAAAATACAAGGTGATGCTGGGCTCAAATGTTTCTCTCAAATTCATGTAACTGATGGCTATCTGGCATCATGACATCTCATTTCTTCTCAGCCCTGAGATGATGTTTCAGGTGAAACAGAAAGAACTATGAGTATCTGATCAGTGGCTATCTGGTGTCCTCATAGATATCCACAGATTAATGGGCCAACAAAAGATGTCTTACTAAGTACAAGCTAACATTTTTATGTATATAATGTACATCAATAATAGTAGGAAAGATGTATATAATGTATCCTCATAATTATGGCAATAATGAAAGTGAACATTCTCCCTAAAATTATAGTTTTATTGGAATGTGTTCTTGAATAATTACCCACAATGCAACACTCGAAGAGAACATTTTGATACCTCTTTTTCTTATTGGTCTTTTTTGTTTAATTTTGAATGATATTAATCATGTTTTATGTTTTAATCATATTCAAAATTGATTTTTCTTCAAGATAATACGAGAAACATATATATTTATCTAAATCTTTTTGAAATATTATCAAAAAAGGGAAGCATGGTACCGCTCATTTTGAAGTTCTCATGTCATAACACAGATTTGCCTACTTTTCTTTTGAAAGCCCATGGGTTCGATCTGTATATGTCTGATATTGTATTTACCATTTATTCTAACCTTGATTTGCAGATAATAAGACAGACATATAACTAAATATAGCCATATTTTGAAAGGATTGAGAAATTTTTGCGAAATCCCATTCCTTTTTATTTAAGTATAATAAAGCTACATGTATACTTCAGAAAATTATCTCAAAATTAAAAAAATTATGTTTTCCCGACCCCCCCCCCCCCCCTTGGGGTCAGGTCGAAAAACATGGAATGTGAAATAGATAGATGTTGTGAATATACATGTACTACCAACATTTCAAACAAAAATATTTATAACTTTGGTTTAAAATGAAAAACATAAGATTCTCCCGAAAATAACGCCATTTGTAAAGCGGTGCCCACCTTGAAAAAAATATTTTTTGCATAAAACTATTTACCAATTGACACCTTTCCACCAAATGTGAAGAAAAATCTGTACAATAGTATTTGAGATGTCTTCCGGACGTACGTCTTTAGGTTGCTGCTTATATTGTTAGCTTGAGAGTATCTTTGTTATTATTCCTTTTCCATTTTTCCGGACGGACGGATGTACTGACAGACGAATGGATGGAGGGCTTCACTATATCCCTACCAAACTTCATTCGTTGGGATAATTATCAATTAAATGTTTTCTTTTAAATAGATCTTACCTCTGTTAAAGAAATAGATTTTCATCTTCAAGAATACTAGGTTGTGTTGTAACAAAGATAGCATAAGGATTACAAGCAATGCTAATTTATCTGTTAATCGATTTCTGACAGGTGATATCATTTTTTAAATTACTTACCTCCATTGAACTGCGCATTAAAACTGCCATAATTTGTCATAGGCTGTTAGATCTTGAAATCTAATTACCTGCTTCAAGTGTTTAGTGCAACCCTTTTGCCATAACAATGACTTTTTTCAACTAGAAAACAGCAACTCCACGGAGTAGGAAATCAAAAGTTTTTACAAAAATGGCAGCCATCTTGAAATTAGGCTGTCATCTTGAAAATTTCTTCTCAAACAGAGCTCCTTTGTCCCTAGGCATCAGCATATAAAGTTTGAACCAAATCCGTCCATTGGTATTTGAGTTTTTAAAGATTAAGTTTTTTTATGAAAAATGGCGGCCATTTTGAAATTTAGAGGCCATCTTGAAAATGTCTTATTGAGTGGAGCTCCTATGTCTCTGGACATTCGCATATAAAATATGAACCAAATCCATCAACTGGTATTTGAGTTATCAAAGATTACGTTCTGCCACGAAGAATGGCGGCCATTTTGAAATTCAGCTGCCATCTTGAAAAATCCTTCCTAACTGTATCTCTTGTCTCCCTAGGTATCAGCATATTAAATTTGAACCAAATCAGTCAACTGATACTTGAATTATCAAAGATTACATTTTTTTACGAAAAAATGACCGCCATTTTGAAAATCTGTGGCCATCTTAAAAATGTCTTCTTCAGCAAAGCTCCTTTGTCTTTAGGCATCAGCATATACAATTTGAACAAAATCTAGCAGCTAGTATTTGATTTATCAAAGATTTAATTTTTTACGAAAAATGGTGGCCATTTTGAATTAAGCGTCCATTTTGAAAATTCCTTCTCGAGCAGAGGTCCTACACCCATAAGGCATAAGCCTATAAAATTTGAAACAAATCTGTCAACCTGTATTTGAGTTATCACCCGGACAGACACAGACAAATGGATGGATGAACGGACGAATGGACGGCTTTCCTGTATCCCTCACTAACTTCTTTCGGTGGGATAATTAGCAGAGATGCTAAGATCAACATTAGGTATAAAAGTAAAACCTGTCTTAGTGAACACCTCTCTCTAGTGAACACCTGTCTCTAGTGGACACCCTTCCTACGCACATAGTCCACTGACTTCTATATGAATTACCCTCTCTCTAGTGAACACCTACCTACAGTGAACGTTTTTTCTTGGCAAAAAAATGTTCACTATACACAAGTTTTACATTATAATGTTATACCTCACGATGAGTCAGAGGTGCTAAGTTCAACATAAGATACGACGTTATACCTCAGGCTGAGTGAGAGATGCTAAGTTCAACATTAGGTATAACGTTATACCTCATGCTGAGTCAGAGATGATAAGTTCAACATTAGGTCTAACATTATACCTAACGCTGAGGCAGAGATGCTAAGTTCAACATTAGGTATAACGTTATACCTCATGCTGAATCAGAGATGCTAAGTTCAACATTAGGTATAACGTTATACCTAACGCTGAGACAGAGATGCTAAGTTCAACACTAGGTATAACGTTATACCTCACGCTGGGTCAGAGATGCCAAGTTCAACATTAGGTATAACGTTATACCTCATGCTGAGTCCGAGATGCTATGTTCAACACTAGGTATAACGTTATACCTCATGCTGAGTCAGAGATGCTAAGTTCAACACTAGGTATAACGTTATACCTCATGCTGAGTCAGAGATGCTAAGTTCAACACTAGGTATAACGTTATACCTCACGCTGGGTCAGAGATGCCAAGTTCAACATTAGGTATAACGTTATACCTCATGCTGAGTCAGAGATGCTAAGTTCAACATTAGGTCTAACGTTATACCTCATGCTGAGTCAGAGATGCTAAGTTCAACACTAGGTATAACGTTATACCTCATGCTGAGTCAGAGATGCTAAGTTCAACATTAGGTATAACGTTATACCTCATGCTGAGTCAGAGATGCTAAGTTCAACACTAGGTATAACGTTATACCTCACGTTAAATTAAAAATAAAATCTCTGCCATCTCACTCGTGTTTGAAATTCATCTATATTTTACTTTTCCCATTCCAAAAAATAATTCCCATTCTAAAAAATAGAGTGTTATATAGTATATACTATAGTTCTACATATACAACTATACATATATTATGTATTACTTGTACTCACTTTCCTGCATGAAAATGTCTGACAGAACAGTTAAGGATCATCAAAATTATTTGAATATTGCCTGTTTGAAATATTTCAGCAGGTTTGAAAATATGAGGAGTTTACAAACCTGCAAGTAAAATGTACATTTGATCCACCAATACAGCCCCGGCAGCTTTTGCCAAGGGGGTTCACTTTTTAAAAATTCCAGGGGGGTACACATTTGACCATTTTGGCCCAAAATTACTTGAAAAGTGTCCAGAATGGTGAAAAACTGCATCATATTGAAAAAATTTGCTTGCACACCCGCACCCTCATTCATGAACTATTTATAATGCTACAAAACTAATATTTTCAAATTAGATCTACAATGTTTCAGAAATGGGTCTCAGGTTTTTGAATTTTTCAATTCCACTTAAAATCAAAAATCTGCCCACATTGTTTATAAAGGATACGAGTTGGCTTGACACTGTGTATCTGCAGTCTTGATGTATGCTTCCCTGGCCTTCTCTAAAGCTTTGCCATTCTTGAAACACACAGCTGCAAAGAAAATGAAACATTACATACCCTTACGTACATGTCTGGTGGTATTACAAATAAATTTTGCCTCATTTCACATAACTCTAATAATAATTCCATTAGCAGTGAAAATCAACACTGTATATGTACCAGATTGTGATTCATAATTGAATAGCTCATTTTGCGTATCAAGTGAATATTTATGAATGGTATAGCTCATTTTGGATATCAAGTGAATATTTATGAATGGTATATACATGTTCAATTAAGAAAAAGTATTTCAATCAAAATTTTACAATGTACATGTATATTGGAATATATTGAATAGCTTGGGGTATATTTCAAGAACATTCTTAGCTACAAAACTATGAATCAATTGGTTTTACAAAAAAGAACAGATTTAAGATTCCCATTTTCCTCTAGCAATGTCAGGGGGCCATGTGCAAATATATTGTTTTATCCAATATATTATTTTATGAATTAAACAATCCCTGTATAACTTAACTTACCTGCTTTTCCATATTCGGAAACTGCTCCATCTAAATCGGGTTTCCATTTGAAGAACGATGTTTTTAAACTGAAAAATTAAAAGAAGTCAACTCTAAAATTTTATAAAGTACTATGAAGTTTGAAAATAAGGAAATGATATTATATTAACCACCATGTATGTCTACTTAATACAAGTATGTTCTTTGTCCTCCCACGCCATGGGCGTAGCCAGGGGGAGGGTGCAATGGGTGCCACAATCACATCCCCCCTACTGAAACCTGGCTACGCCCATGCACGCCCTCAGATACAAAGTGAAACTCAGAAATTATTGAGTACAGTGGGGAACATAAAGAATTACTATAGCTATGAAAAATACATGCTGCCACACATGTAATAAATTCTTACCTCAGTGTATTCAGTGCTCTATTTTCTCCGTCCCAGTAAGTCCAAATATAGTGGAATTTGTGTCAATAATGACAAATAGGAACTTAAAAATTTGAAGTGGTTATTCACATATTAATGTGTGTTAATGTCGACTCTTCAAATATTGAGGTGATTTTGGAGCCCGATTACGCCGCAAGGAGGATTGGTTCCCAGAATGCAACATGACACATGCCAGCTTTCAAAATGCCGTTCCGCCATTTTGAAACCTGTCACGAGTAAATAAGGTTAACTTAGGGTGTTCGGAAATTTCACTTTTTTACCCTAGAGCTAAGCACATTTGGGTTCCCATTCCTTTTGCCATCAAAAATAATCCTGCAAAGTTTCAGATTGCTAGGATAATGTCTTGGTTCTTGGAATTGCACCTCAATTATCAGCCATTTCGGACCAAAATGGCATTTTTTATGAAATTTGTTCATTTTCAAAGGAAATTAAGACATACTTTACTTTTTGCTATCCCATTAAATATTGGATTTAATGTAAGATATTACCTTATATATTCATTATATAACAGAGTAATATACTATGATCAAGAGGTTTTAATACACAAATAACAAACAAAAAGGAACAAAACACATCCGTACATGGTAAATAATTAAGATATAATGATTTTAGGACCAAGCGTCTTGATTGTAATGCTGCAGTTATGAGAAATTTAATTACATGCCACCAAAGCTAAATTCAAAGAGTATACCATCCTAAGAGTTAACTCTTGGTTGGAAAAATCAATATTTCATCCCTTGCTTCAATGTGTACATACATGTATTCAGTTTAGTAGTGATCAGTATCTTACTGAAGGAAGATCATTAGTACATGTATAGGATTGGATTAATGCCCTAAAACAAAATGGATTTACATGTTGTACCTGTAAATGACTCCAAGACTTCACCTTCACAAAAGACCAAGGCCTCCAAACGACTTAGCAAATCACAATTGCTATGGAATGAACTTGTAGGATCAAAAGAGAGAGATTGCATTCCTGCCAACCGGCTACCAACAAACAGTGTATTAATGCAGCGCTATCGTACAATGAAATCTCTTTTCCCAAAGTCAACCCCTGTCCGTGAATTTGCCACAAGGATCCACCATGAAGTGGCGACTGTGTGGGAGAAAGCCAATATCCCGATGGAATCAACAAAGGCCGCTGTGCAACGTATTACAAGGCTACTTCAATCATGGACAATATTCTCATCAAATGCGCACAAGTGTCAAGCAGGATGAAATTCGTACCAAATCGAACAAATGTTTTCATGAATCGCCATGTTTGTGATCCAAAGGGGGCCTGACTCCCAGAATGCAGATTCCTTGGTATTTTAGCATTCTTTTCATGTAGTTGAATCCACAATTATCTGGGTTTATTGGCAGGACGAAGAAATTTTCGTTTTTGATCGTAATATTTGCATGTAATATTTAACTTATTTCATCTGTCAAATTCCTTCATTTATTGGTACTTCAGGGCCAGTCCAACGGGGAATCCCCTTTTAAATCCAACGGCCATCTTAAAAAGTGATGGAATCTCTCTCGATGAAAAAGAAAAATGTTCCCGTTCTGCCGATAGACCCAGATAATTGTGGATTCAACTACACGAAAAGAATGCTAAAATACCCAGGAATCTATTGAAGTAGGTATCTTAAGTGTAAGAGGCGTAGAAAATTCTCCCATGTTGTAATCATACAGGCAAAAGATTGAGACGTTCTCAGGACTATGTCCTGGCACGGGATAAATATCATAGTGCTAAGTTCCTGTGGTATGGATAAGCTCAGTCTACTGTCGAAAAAATATTGATAGGGAAATTTCGATGTAATGACACATCCGTAGAACTATAAAATACTAGCCCCAGAGTTATACAATAAGTAGGTAGCTACGACCGGGACTATTAATGAAGCTAGCATTTTATGATTCAATAAATGATCGATGATTGTAAAGACAAAGGGTGAATTTTATGTCTAGCTATTGAAAGACTAAAACAAACCAAAACTCCAAATATTAATATTAATTCACAGATGCAAATATTTAACTCAAAAGAAGACAATGAACAATTTTACCATTCATCTTATTCATTAATTTATTTTACAAACAAAATATTTCACATACCAAAAGCTTACTATTAAAGTATCACTTACAATGAGGAAATCAATTCTAGTTAATATAAGAGCAAACATCAAAAGCAAAATCTGCAGTCAGGTGAATATCATAAATTCCTTAAAAACCTGAAGCTAAGTTGTTCTTAATAATATGAATTGATTCCAATCTTACTATAAATCATCTTTAAATCTCTTCCTTCATAAGGCTTTTAGATTTCTCATGATTCTTTTAGTCAAACAAGATAATGAAATAGAAATGGTATAAACTCACATTAAAAGTAAAAACTGACGCTTACCTAAATAAGTTCAATTCGTTCCTAATTACCTCTTTTAAAATGACCATCTTGTTATTCTGTTCTATTTCAAACCTATCACAGCTTCTGTGCATGTTTGACTTCCAACAGACTATAGAAATAATCAAAGTCTAAAAACATGAAACTTCTATTGTACTTTTGACTTCATTTGTCCTCTTATAGAAACTTGAAAGTTCTAAACTTTCCTTTTCCATCTTTAGAACACTGAAAGTCCTTTACAATACTTTTCATCTAAATCAAATTGTTGTTCCCATCATTTACCAGCCAAGATGTGCCCTTGATGATCCGAAATTGCTAACCAAAGAGCTCGTACAATCCTCTCAATTTATACAAGACAATTTTCCATTAAAAAGTGATGTCAGTAACAAAATGATGTAGGTACAATAATGACGCTAATACTATACTTAGCATATGACACAATATGACGTACCAAAAATAAAGCAACGTTTCAACTTTTACAAGGCTAAATGAAATGGATACTCTGACATAGTTAGAACAACTGCATCATGTTTTTATGACTCAAGAGTGTACTTTATGAGGTGAAATTGACATCTCTTTGCTCAAATCAGCTGACTGCAGTTTTGACTATCTTACTATTCAATTGATACAATATTATTCTAGTATGAATATATGATTACTAAGCAATAACTGATTATATTATAATGAGTGGGCCTCTACAGAACTACACAGTAAAGATTTTACTCATCTTTGTTGTTGAGAAACAAAAATAAGTAAAACCTTAAAAAATACAATTTGGAAAGTACGATGTTTGGAGAATACTAATATTGTGAAAACAACACTACAGAAATAATTTTGAGTGAGAAAAAATGGGATTTTTCATTTTTTGCCAACTTTATGACAGATTTCTATCAACTGAAGACGTTTAATGCAAAGTCTTTCTATACGATGTAGTCTATACAATATCGGCATTTCATGCGCTTCATACTTTGTATTTTCATCTTACCATTTAGCAGCTAGTTCCATATGTTCAAGACCTTCAGATATTTTCTTTTCCTTATTCGCCATGTTGATTCTCGTTGATTTCTCACTCTCGTTCCAATCTCGGAGTTTTTCGTCTGGTCCTCATAGAGTCTTCCCCGGTTCTATAATATTCCTTTCTTCATTAAACTTACAACACATTTGCTTCGTCCTCTTATGGACCACCTATTGTTCCAATCCTCTACATATCAACTACTGCTTTCTCCTACAGATTACCCATTGCTCTCACCATACACCCATTGTTTTCAACCTCTACACATCACATCACCCATTGCTTTCATCCTCCGTACAGATCACCCATTGATTTCATCATCTACACTCATCCATTGCTTTCATCCTCCACAGAGTCCAGATTACCCATTGCTCTCATCATATCACCCATTGCTTCCATGTTCTATAAATCACCTATTAATTTCATCCTTGACGTATCATCCCTCTTGCTTTCATCCTCTACAGATTACCCATTGCTTTCATCCTTTACAGATCACCCATTACTTTCATCCTCTACAGAGTCCAGATTACCCATTGCTCTCATCATATCACCCATTGTTTTCATGCTCTATAGATCACCCATTGTTTTCATGCTCTATAGATCACCCATTGATTTCATCCTTCACATATCATCCATTGCTTTCATCATCTACAGATCACCCATTGTTTTCATCATCTACGGATCACCCATTGCTTTCACTCTTTATAGATCACCAATAACATCCATCCTCTACAGATCACCAATCGCTGTCACTCTTTACAGATTACATATAAATGCTTTCATCCTCTACAAATTACCCATTGCTTTCATCCTCTATAGATCGCACATTGCTTTCATTCTCTACAGATCACCAATTGCTTTCATTCATACTCTAGAGATCACCCATTGCTTTCATCCCCTACAGATCGATCACCCATTGTTTTAATCCTTTACATATTACCCATTGATTTCATCCTCTATAGATTACCCATTACTTTCATCCTCTACAGATTATCCATTGCTCTTATCCTTACCAGATTACCCATTGCTTTCATCCTCTACAGATTACCCATTGCTTTCATCCACTACAGATTACCCATTGCTTTCATCCTTCACATATCACCCATTGCTTTCATCATCTACAGATTACCCATTGTTTTCATCCTCTACAGATTACCCATTGTTTTCATCCCATACAGATCACCCATTTTTTTCATCCCATACAGATCACCCATTGTTTTCACCCCATACAGATTACCCATTGTTTTCATCCCAAACAGATTACCCATTGCTTTCATCCTTCACATATCATCCATTCATTTCATCCTCTACAGATTACCCATTGCTTTCATCCTCTAGAGATCACCCATTGCTTTCATCCCCTACAGATCGATCACCCATTGTTTTAATCCTTTACATATTACCCATTGATTTCATTCTCTATAGATTACCCATTGCTTTCATCCTCTACAGATTACCCATTGCTTTCATCCACCACAGATTACCCATTGCATTCATCCTTCACATATCATCCATTGCTTTCATCATCTACATATTACCCATTGTTTTCATCCTCTACAGATTACCCATTGTTTTCATCCCATACAGATCACCCATTTTTTCATCCCATACAGATCACCCATTGTTTTCATCCCATACAGATTACCCATTGTTTTCATCCCATACAGATTACCCATTGCTTTCATCCTTCACATATCATCCATTCCTTTCATCCTCTACAGATTACCCATTGCTTTCATCCTCTACAGATTACCCATTGCTTTCATCCACTACAGATTACCCATTGCTTTCATCCTTCACATATCATCCATTCCTTTCATCCTCTACAGATTACCCATTGCTTTCATCCTCTACAGATTACCCATTGCTTTCATCCTCTATAGATTACCCATTGCTTTCATCGTCTACAGATTACCCATTGCTTTCATCCTTTACAGATTACACATTGCTTTCATCCTTTACAGATTACCCATTGCTTTCATCCTCTAAAGAGTACTCATTGCTCTCATCCTTTACAGATTACCCATTGTTTTCATCCTCTACAGATCACTTATTGCTTTCATCCTTCACATATCATCCATTGCTTTCATCCTCTACAGATTACTCATTGCTCTCATCCTTTACAGGTTACCCATTGTTTTCATCCTCTACAGATTACCCATTGCTTTCATCCTCTACAGATCACCAATTGCTTTCATCCTCTACAGATTACCCATCCATTGCTTTCATCCTCTACACATCACCAATTACTTTCATCATCCACAGATCACCCATTGATTTCATCCTCTGCAGATTACCCATTGCTTTCATCCTCTACAGATCACCGATTGCTTTCATCCTCTACAGATCACCAATTGCTTTCCTCCTCTACAGATATCTATCACTGTCATCCTTTACGGATCACCCATTGCTTTCATCCTCTACAGATTACCAATTGCTTTCATCCTTTACAGATTACCCATTGCTTTCATCCTCTACAGATTACTCATTGCTCTCATCCTCTACAGATTACCCATTGCTCTCATCCTTTACAGATTACCCATTGCTTTCATCCTCTACACATTCCCAATTGCTTTCATCCCCTACATATCACCCATTGCTTTCATCCTTCACATATCATCCATTGCTTACATCATCTACAAATCACCCATTGCTTTCATCCTTTACATATTACCCATTGCTTTCATCCTCTACAGATTACCCACTGCTTTCATCCTTTACAGATTGCCCATTGCTTTCATCCTTTACAGATTACCCATTGCGTTCATCCTCTACAGATAACTTTTTGCTTTCATCCTTTACAGATTTCCCATTGCTATCATCCTTTACAGATTACCCATTGCTCTCATCCTTTACAGATTGCCCATTGCTCTCATTCTTTAAAGATTACCCATTGCTTTCATCCTTTACAGATTACACATTGCTCTCATTCTTTACAGATTACCCATTGCTCTCATCCTTTACAGATTACCCATTGCTTTCATCCTCTACATATTACACATTGCTCTCCTTCTTTACAGATTACCCATTGCTTTCATCCTTTACAGATTACCCATTGCTCTCATCCTTTACAGATTACCCATTGCTTTCATCCTTTACAGATTACCCATTGCTCTCATTCTTTACAGATTACCCATTGCTCTCATCCTTTACAGATTACCCATTGCTCTCATCCTTTACAGATTTCCCATTGCTCTCATCCTTTACAGATTACCCATTGCTCTCACCCTTTACAGATTACCCATTGCTCTCATCCTTTACAGATTACCCATTGCTCTCATCTTTTACAGATTACCCATTGTTTCCAGCCTCCACATAAATGAAGTTGATTCAATGTATCAGGCTATGGACATTAATAGATGGAAGAAGTTCATATTCAATTTTACATATTGAAATGTTTGGGCATTTTGATTGAGATCAAAATGCAGGTCTTAAAACAGATAATCAAAATGGTAATTCTGAGCCTGGTATAGACCTAGTGCCTCCCACCCCTATAGTGCTTTTTAAAGGAAAACTGTAACTTTATTATTTTGAAATGATAAAGATGCAAGGAATATTTTACATCAATTAAAACATCACATTGACAAGTGTCAAAAACTAGATGGTATAAATTTTGTGACAAACGAAGATGGTAAGCAAGAGAGGCACTTAGGTCATCTCTGAACTCTGGGGGTTTCCCTCCTCTTTGTATACGCAATGCAAAAAGAACAAATCCCTGGAGATTTGTAAACTGTATCTGTGAATCAGCAGATATGTTACAGTACTAGCATCTACAGTATAGGTCTTTTAAATATCATCATGTATACATAGGGCTACTTCTTAACATTAACAATTCTAAAAAGTAAAACCCACTTATTCTTACGTGCTTCAAATATTTCAAAAATTCTAGGCTTTAGAACTTTTCAATCTTTGATTCATGTGATTGAAAAGCAAGTTTCACTAATGTAAAAAAACAAAGAGACATAAATTATGATATACACAGCTATATTTTACAATATATGCATTATTAACAAGCATGAATAAATAAATTTATTCTTTAATTACTTTTTTGAAACACAATTTTCCAGAAATTTATACATTTTTATTATGACATCGAAAGACATTGAAAAGCATAGGCCCATATAATACAAGTAAAGGTCAATTTATAGTCTAATAACAGCCTATATTATAGTTTTACAGTTTTTTAAATGAATGCATGGAGTGTCTTTTTTCACAGAGTGTTGTTTGTTCAATCGTTGGCTGACTGGATGACTATCAAGATATAATCCTTGTCTGGAAAAAAAGTACAAAACATTACTGCAACATAGAAAATAATTTGTTCACAATATCTTTTTCAGCAAATTCCTATAGTTGTTCTTTGTTTGTTATTGAAGCAAGGTAAATCATAATTATTTTTTCAAAAAACTTAGTGTAAACTGATCAAAATTCAAGATTCTGCAGACAAAGTCAAATTCTTAAGAACCGTACACACAAAAATGGATTGTGTGTTCTTAATCTGTTGTTGCACTCAACATATTCCAAATGTATTTACCTGGAGCAAGCATGATCTCATGTTTCTTTGATCGTATCCTCAGGAACATCAGATCATTTTGTGGGTCAAGGTCACGCACAGTGCTGCGTGCTTTGCTTGCTAGTGATGAGAACAGACTGGCATACTGCACAGTGGTTGAGTTGTCCAATGTAGTACGAATTGGAATGCCTATGGGAGGAAAAACATAATACATCATCAATAAATTGATATGTACATTTGTACAGTAAAACCTGTCTAAAGTGTATGTTAACATTACTGGTGAAGTTTTCAGTTAATTTGAGGTGTTCACTTAATAAATTGATAATACATGTACATCTGTACAGTTACAGTAAAACCTGTCTTAAGTGTATGTTTACATTACTGAACAAGTGTTCAATTAATTTGGGGTGTTCACTTAACAGTGGCATTAGCTTTGACAAGATGATTACATACATACAGTGTAATAGCTAATACATAAACTGTTGCAATGAAAAGGATGTTATTACTAAATCTGCCCAGGGCTGTTTTAATTTTTCAAATTTCTTTAATCCAGACACAT